AGTAACTTCTTTATTCAACAAAGTGGTAATCAAAGTCATTCTTGATCCATGATGATGGTCAACATAAAAATAAAAGCATAAAGAATCTTCAGATTTTTGTAAAGTAATTTTGCAGATGGTTGAACTGAAGTTTGTTAATAGAGCCAAAGCAAAAGAAACTAATAGGCCTGTTGAGAGTCATGAGGATGCTCCTCCAAGGATCTCCAAGAAAAAATCTACTTGTTCCTCGTTTTTTCCGTGTTCCATTATTTGTATTTACCATATAGGTGTACACTTTCTAGTTGTAAATTATGTTTATCCTTGCTAGACTTCAACAATGATGTACATGAAAAATTGTCAAGGATACCTAAAACTAGAAATCGAAAGGAGAAAAATATTTGAGTAATTACTTATTGTAGTTAGGGCAGGATCGTTATAATCAAAGGGTTCTATTCAATTATAATTTTGGAATGGGGTTAATATTGTCATTTTCCTTTTATATCTTAATACAATTTCACTGTTATTTTCTATTCTCAAGATCAGGCTCCTCCGTAATGTTGGGGTGAACAAGATGACAGAACTTGGCATTACAGTGAAACAAGTAATATATGAAGCATATTTTTACCTCAACCCAACTTGTGATAACAAAAGGTTTCTCAGCCACTATGGCGTCAACTAGAGCTTCATCAAAAGGCATCAGTTCCTCTACAAGCACATGCGTACACTCCCGAATATCATGAGATGTAGAAGCACCTACATTTAAATATACTCTTCAAATTCGACCAAAACGACAAACTAATTCACTATCTTCAATGCAGATTTAACTTGTAGAATGAGTAGATGTTGTGCAGCATAAACAATGTAATAAATAGTGATGGTGAACTTGATTGATGGGATCACAGTATCAATAATGCAGAGCTCATTGATAAACGTGCCTCATAAACATTTCAACTTATTAGTGTAAGGATGTATATAGCAGCAAGTTATTTGTGTGTTCATAATGTATTGTTATTCATTTTTATTTTTACCTTTTTCACAGTTTATCCCTAATTTAAACAAACCTTCCTTTAGTTAGTTTCCGTTCTTTAAATTTACCATGCTGTTATGTTGAGAGTTCCACACATGAACAAGGTTAAGTATTCTCCCCCGTTTTAAGGTCATATTTCGAGTTTTCAAGTGTTTGTACTAGGACATGCTAACATAAAGCAACTAAGCAGTTACATAAGAAACCTTGGAAAATTGAAACTTCTATTAATCAGATAAGAATTCCTTCCATAGGTGAAGTAAAAGAAGATCGGCAACTTCTTTATGACTGACCTATGGATGAAACCTTGTCCCTCAGCAGCTGGAATTGGAAGGACACTGAATGGTGAACATAAAACACAAGTTGCACAAAGGAGAACCTGCAAGATTTGTTTATGGGATAATAAGGTTTTTGAGCGTATTGGGTGTTAGATAGAAAGTAAAGTTTCTTTGACTATAAAATGGTAAAGTATATTAGCATTAAAATATGTTAATGTATATTCACAATAGCAAAAAGGCATATGAGATCTTCTAGCTTCTAAAAATAAATTTTAGTACAAATAACAAGAAACTTTGCCATCTATATTAATGGAAGCTAAAAGTAAAACCCAAAATCTAGAAAAATTAGGATATACAAAAACATTAGCAAAGGAGACAAAGTTATCACAAAAAAATTGCTTCAGTGGTTGAGATTCAAGAATAAAGGAAAGTAGAAAGAAAAAAGAAAAAGAATATGGGAAATATAGAAAGGAATATTGTCATAGAATCTAAAAAGGAAGTATTAAAGAATTTACAGAATTCCTTGCAGAAAACAATCACTTACTGAATAAATAGCAAGCAACCGCATCTGGTTTAACTGAGAGCCATGGATATAATAATGAGTCTAATAAACCATATATAAAAAGCATACCCTGCTTCTAATAAAGAGCTAACCAGTGAGAGCAACTTGAATGATAAATCTTGTCACTAATTTAAATGTTTCTCAGATTACCTGTACGTTGCATTGCCAGATCCAAATGAAATCACATCTCCATCATACAAGCTTGCTTCTTTTTTTGGAAGCTCGTGAATTTTCTCCTTCAACCCAGATTTCCTGCTAACAAATGTCCCATACTTGGAGCAATCGCTAATCCTCACTTTAGAGGAAACATTAGATAAATAACTCTTGTGGGAATTTAAAAAGATCATAGCATCTACAACTATTTCTGCATGGATGCGGGAAACTCCTTTATCTTTTGTTATAGTCAAATCGCAGCCTGTGGGATAAACATGATCACACAATGAGCAAACAACTGAGAGCATGATTTGAGAGCTAAAGAAAGTGACTGTTAAATGGATGTTCTTGAATGTTCAAAATATTTTTTCTCAAGATAAGGCAGCAAAAATGCAATACAAAAAGGAACTTTGAAGACAACATGATTGAAAATAAACAACTACAAAACATTATGGAAAATGTTTATAATATTGATCAAGTCATTGTTTAGAAAACTCAAAAAAGTACTTGCATGAGGAACCTTGCCTCACATCGGCACAAACATATGTGTGCGCCCTCCTGCTTGAGCTCTGAGGCGTGGTGCCTGACCACTTCAACTTTTTTTTTAAGAGCATAATGTCCAATTTTTAAATGCCTCCCTCAAAAGTCAAAATACCCTCTGTCAATTCTTCACTTGAAGTGATAGCATCAAGCACTCTAACTTATCAAAGCGACAAGTAAGCCCTCTATCTTAATCTCTCTCTCCCTCTATAGAGTCTCTCTGGCCCTCCTTCTCTAGTTTCTCTAACCTAAGCTCTCAGGTCTCTCTTCATTTGACACACGCATTTCTCTCTCTAACAAATTTAGCTAAAATGGCAAATCTCACGGGAAAGGAGAGAGGAATAAATAACAAACTTCTCCTTATTCCTTTAAAATATTGCAAAATTCTATAGCTGTTACGAATATTCCCCAGACGCGAGTAAGGAGGCTTTGACATCTTTTTGGGAACTAATACTAAAAGGAGTGGGATTGAGGATATCACGGTCGAAGGGTGAAATTTTGAGCCCATTTTTTCTCATGGAAATCGGCAAGTCGGTATCTATGGGCTGAGCAACATCTTCGATATCCTAGTTTAGCTCATTTGGTGGTGTAGAATCCTTCCCACAACTTTATTAACACTCTTCGACTGGAGTATATGGAGCATGGAACTCTTGCCTCTTGACTACAATTTCAAAGGACACAGATTACTTGGGATCACTCGCCCAATAAGATCACTCAGTAAGGCCAATATGGTCAAAAGTAGCCTTGATAGGGTCTCATCAGGACATTGAGTACACTTATAGTTAACCAATTAAGATTACAGTCTAATCATATATCCGCTTCTTAATAATAATAATATGATAAAACAAAAACAGACGAAGGAAAAAAAGCGCACAGGAATTGTTCTAGTAAAAGAAATATCGCTTCTACAAACATTAAAAATATTTCTAAATTTTATTACAGACGAAGAATACGCCATAAAATTTATCATTCAGAACCAAAAGTACTCCATCAAATATAACTACTAGCACAATCGAAGTACCTTTACGACCCACTTTATACTTCCCAGGCGCAAAAATGTAGAATTTTTCCTCACCTGCAACATGCACTTGTTTATACAAATTGCCCAACCATACGAAAACTGACGATTCTTCAGAAATTAAGCATTGAAAATAAATATAAAGCTTTTAACAGTACGCAAAAAGTTATCTTCGAACAACTAAAAGAAAACCAGTTCTACAGCAGCAAGAAGTAATCAGAAAATCACGAAGCGAACGCACCTGAAAGAGGATCGACTGGGAAGAAGCCCCAAACCATATTTTTCCGGTATAGATTCCTATGGCGCTAAACAATTGATGAGCCTTTCCATGGAAGGGTCAAAGTGAGCGGGAAAAAAAAAAGGGCAATAAAATTGATCGGTAAAAAGGCTGGTCGGAGTGTTCTTCGAAGTTGTGAACCGGGTTTTATAGCGTAGGGACCTTGGGGAGGATTATTGAATACTTGAATTAAATTATTGAACTTTTAAAAAATAAAAATCTACCCTAAAATTAATTTTTAATTTTGCTTCTATTTCAAGTAAAAATAAATAATAAAAGTTAGTTAAGAGACCGTTTAGAACAAGAATCGAGCTACCGAGCAAGGAGAGAAAAAAAAAAAGAAATCTTAGGTTGAAGCCAAGTTCATAGTTACCGTTCTTGAAGGGTCGCGCCCAATACTCTTTTGTCAGTGTAATCTCGGTCTAACCCTAATTTTGTCTTCTTTAGTATTAAGCCAACAAAAAGTTAAGGAAACCTCGTAGGGGAACGTAATAGAAATCCTCGAAGGGTTGGATTTGAAGGCTCTCGTAGAGCAAGTAGAACTTCACTGTACGAACGAGATCACGAGGGAAAGTTTCAACCATCACTTTATATTATGAAAAGATCGATTATGTTGAACATATTGCCACCAAGAAATCGTTGAAGAAACTCTTTGAAGGATCATGACCACACACTCGAGATTTCTTTTAGCCAAAAGACGAAATTAAACCCCCTGTTCCAGAAGAATACTTGAAAAAGATTAATCTCAAACTCGACTCCATGTATTTAGTCTTTTAACACAGTCAAACCGTGAACCCTAATTAAGTAGTAGGGGACTAATTTTATGGTAAAATTGAATCACGAGAACTCGATAAAAACAAAGCAAAACAAAAACTGAACCATCAAACAAGGAGAGAAGAAAAGAAACTTAGGTCAAAGCTCGAGTTCACAAAATCAAGGCCGACCCTCTGCACCTGATGCTAAACCCTAATACAACCTCGGTTAGGCCCCACTTGGTCCTAACCCTAGTAAGGAATCGAGGAAAACCCTAACCGTGGATAATATAAATTATAAATTAGTCGGGTAACTTAATTTAAAATTAATTAATTAATATATTTTTTTAAAGAAAATATTCCAAATTATTAAAATAAAAAAGCGTTATAAATTAAAAAGCGGAATAAAAAAATCTGCATAAACAGAGAGAAGAAAAGAGACGATTCAGTTGTCCATAGAAACTTCCCCTTGTTTGTCAAACCTCCAACAATGGCGTCAACAGCAGCAATGATTCGTCTCTTTCTCCTCTTTCTTCTCACGGTTTCCCTCCCAATCTTCTCCGATGCCCGCCCCTGCAAATCTCTCTTCGTTTCCTTTTCCGTTCACCGCCACCCAACCCTCGATTCCCGCGATCCCTTCTCCGAGATGGCCATTATCGTCGACATCACCGAGTTGAAATCCGCCGCATCTTCTTCTTCTTCTTCCGATTCCCTTTTCCGCCCCTTCGGTGACGACCTCCTCCGCTTGGATCTCCCTCGCGATAGGGCTTTTGTAGCCTCCCAACCCCACTCGCTTCAAGAACTCCCTTTGGGCCTCTCTTATGACTTCAGCTCCCTTCGTGATCGTACCAAGGATATCCTCAGCGTTGTTGTTGCTTTGCTCTTCGGTGTTGGCTGTGGCGCTCTCACTGCTGCCACCATGTATTTGGCCTACTCGTTGTGCTCCAGCCAATTTAGTCACCGCTCTTCTGTGTACGATGACCTCTGGGAGGAGGGTGATTTCAGTGATGATAACAAGGAGAATATTAAGAAGATGGGCTACGTCAAGATCCCCGAGGACGTTGCGGCGGTTAAATCAGTGGTGTAATCGACTATAGATATGTTCGGTAACTTGTTGATGTTTGTTACTTCGTGGTTTTCTATTTCATATACTAAAAATTATACTTATTTATTGTTTGTTTCTGGATTGTAATTGTCTTAAGTGTCAATCGTGATCCCTGAAATATTATATATGGGTAACTTTATGGTTAATTATCATCCTTTTCTTTGAAAATTCTGTTTTTAAACGACGACTGAACTTATGTTTCCTTGTTGCATTTCAATGGGGCAATGTCTTGCATTTTATGTACCAATGGCTTTGATCGATCAGGGGAAGGTATATATAAAAAGCAAAGCCTACAGGTTTTATGATCTTTATGTGCCAAGAATAGCTCATTGGTTAAGACAGTAGATTTTCGATCAAAAGGTTAGAAATTTGAATACACAACCCATTATGTTGTTGAACTATGAAAAGGTTTTAAAATCTATGTTGCCTTGCTATACTTTAATTTGGGATTTTCCATTTTGTAATGGTTAGCCCCTCATTCATAATGTCATTGAAATTTATTGTTATGTTACCCTTACTTGAATTAAGTAGATTATGCTTATTGTTCCTTTCCCATGGTTGAGAATAGCTTACTTCTCGTGCTTTATTTGTCTTATTCCTCATCATTCTTTTTTTTTAAGATTGATACTTGTCTGCTTTATGTCGAATGAAGTCATTGTTGTGAAAGTTTATATGGAATATGAGATTTGAGTAGATTTAGTGATTGAAGGATCAAGCTTTAACCTTCTATCCAGGTTTGAATTCTTTTTGTACTTCATAGGATCATCTCAGAAAAGACTTATGCCATGATAAATATATTGTTAACTGATGGACTAGGGGGACACAATTGTGATGTCCCACATTGGTTGGGGAAGAGAACAAACATCCTTTATAAGGGTGTGGAAACTTTCCCCTAGCAGATGCGTTTTAACCCCTGAGGGGAAGCCCGAAAGGGAAATCCCAAAGAGGACAATATCTGCTAATGGTGGATCTGGGGCGTTACAATAATTGTTGATTTGTAGTATTTTGAAAGAAGTAATATATTATGTTCAATGAGATGGTCTGTCATCTGCTAGACTGCCTCATCGTTAGAGCTCTGCCTGCTGCCTTTTTCTTCTCCTTTCTTCCATTCAAACTATTAGTTTTTTACCTTTATCTTTGAAGTTATTTATTTTTTTCTTTTATAGGAAGAATCATTGGACAAGACCCTTTGATATCCATCTTTTTAAAACCATATTTTCAAAAGTTTTCCCTCCATTATGTAGAAGGAATGATATGGAAAGACACCCAGCTTAAGAAGGTTGAAAGTTTTTCTGTGTAGTAGGTTGCAGGGAGGTGATATTTATCACACAAGATGAGATCCAAGCTAAGAACATTAGCTGAAACATCTCTTCTTGGTGTGTGTTGTGCAAACAAGGTTCTTAAAATGATGCAGGCAACCATCCATAATAGGTGAGAAATATCTATAGTTTGTTCCCAAAATTTTAGAAAACAAACTCGAAAAGCTGACCCAATGATGACATCTCTTAGCCTCCCCTTTATTTGAACCATTTCTCTTCAAAAGTGGCCTAAATAAGGAGGATAAACTCCAAAAGAACCCAAGTTGGGCAATTCTCATAGTGTTAGCAGCCTGTGTCTTCAAGTGGAGGAAACTCTGGAACATATTTTTCTCCACTACCATTTCCCTGCCTGAGGTTGGTTTTTCATACAGAGCTAATTTCAGTTCCTGTGAAGGTTGATATGTAGTTCTTTGAAGTGCTTTTGTGTTGGTTATCGAAAGATTAAAAGGTGTCTTCAAGAGAGAGGGAAGTTCTTATAGCTTTCTTGATCTTGTACCTTGTACCTTTCATAAGAAGTTCGTTCGAGTTCATATTGTTTTGGTAATTAACCTCGATTCAAGGTGTCGATGAAATGGTTTTTCTAGGCAGGTTATTTCAACCCCTGAACTTTAGGTTCTGATTTTTTTGGCACTTTCAAATATATTCATAGTCTTTGAATTGGACCCCTAATAGGTTATGTTAACTCCTCAGGGGTTTATTTGAGAATCACATTCAAGTATAGTTCCATTCTAATTCTTTAACACGTTCAAGTATAATGAGATAGCTTCTAGTTTTTAGCATCTCCAACTCAAAACAAGTAGTTAGATGTGCTGTTTTTCAAACTAGGATCATCTATGACTTGTAAGCGTTAGTCGATACATTATGTTTTATGAATTCAAATGGGATGCTTGTATGCCCCGTTATGGATACAATTCTCATGGTATTTTGGGATAAATTTGGGATAGAAATTGTAATACTCATCACTTGGTCTATTTCTTTTAATGGAATCTTGAAAGTATGTTTCTTTTGATCGATGTAAGTTCTTGAAGTTATTTGTTTCATTCTGTATATATATAAAGAATCACATTTCATGAAGTGTTTCTATGAAGCTTGATCTATGCATCACTTGGTCTATTTCTTTTAATGGAATCTTGAAAGTATGTTTCTTTTGATCGATGTAAGTTCTTCATCACTTGGTCTATTTCTTTTAATGGAATCTTGAAAGTATGTTTCTTTTGATCGATGTAAGTTCTTGAAGTTATTTGTTTCATCTTTTAATGGAATCTTGAAAGTATGTTTCTTTTGATCGATGTAAGTTCTTGAAGTTATTTGTTTCATTCTGTATATATATAAAGAATCACATTTCATGAAGTGTTTCTATGAAGCTTGATCTATGCATCACTTGGTCTATTTCTTTTAATGGAATCTTGAAAGTATGTTTCTTTTGATCGATGTAAGTTCTTCATCACTTGGTCTATTTCTTTTAATGGAATCTTGAAAGTATGTTTCTTTTGATCGATGTAAGTTCTTGAAGTTATTTGTTTCATCTTTTAATGGAATCTTGAAAGTATGTTTCTTTTGATCGATGTAAGTTCTTGAAGTTATTTGTTTCATTCTGTATATATATAAAGAATCACATTTCATGAAGTGTTTCTATGAAGCTTGATCTATGCCCCGTTACGGATACAATTCTCATGGTATTTTGGGATAAATTTGGGATAGAAATTGTAATACTCATCACTTGGTCTGGATACAATTCTCATGGTATTTTGGGATAAATTTGGGATAGAAATTGTAATACTCATCACTTGGTCTATTTCTTTTAATCATGGTATTTTGGGATAAATTTGGGATAGAAATTGTAATACTCATCACTTGGTCTATTTCTTTTAATGGAATCTTGAAAGTATGTTTCTTTTGATCGATGTAAGTTCTTGAAGTTATTTGTTTCATTTTGTATATATATAAAGAATCACATTTCATTAAGTGTTTCTATGAAGCTTGATCTTTGTTAGTTCTCTTAGGATCTGAGTAGAGTGTTTTCTCTTGTAATAAATTTTGAGTTTTGTTGAAAGAATTAAGTTGGTAATGGAATGTAAATGTAACTAAGGCATCTCCTTAAAGATTTTTCTATAACAGTTTGTTCCTTCATAGCCAAATATGGATTAGCTAATCTTATCATTACATAATCTAATTTGATTGATTTTAGGTGTGGTCTATTTTTTTTAAACATACATTTGTGTGTTTAAAAAAAAGTCAAGCTAATTCTTGTTAGTGTTTTCCTTCGTAATAATTATAGTGATGATAAAGAAAAAGTCTATTTGAAATCGTTAAATTCTCAAAGAATTAAGACATTGGGTTGAAGTTATGACACTCAATTATGTAGGATTAATATTAATGTAGCAGAATCAAACCGTTGTCCTATAAAAATAATGAAGTTGTATGCAAATTAACCTACACATTCATCGATACTAAAAGAAATAAATGAAACAATTGACTTTCTCACCAGATGGAAAACTGAAGTAGCAAGATGAAGGGTCGATCCTAATTGTTAAATGAAATTGGGAAGAGTTGAAATCTAAGACGAACTATATTTAACCTCTTCTTTTTCCAATAATTATTTGAAATGTGAAATAATTTCTAACCTATTCAAAAAATATGGCTAGAAAAAATTTTCATTTTTTTGTTGGGTTATGACCGAAGTAAAAACATCATCATAAACACAACTATAAGTCATGAACTTATAATTTTAGCAAACGATTAAGAGATTTCAGTTCTTTTACGAACTTGTAGGTTCAAGTCTCCCTCATCAAATATGGTGTAATATTCTGAACAAAAAATACAGACATCTGCAAGGAATAAAAAACAGAAACGATCAAACCTCAAAAATCCATGAGTTGGGAAAAAAAAAAAAAAAAAAAACTCATGAAAAACATGAATATCTTGCATCCCTGCAAATCACTCATCCAACCAGCAAACAACCCATCAGAGCAAGACACTGAAACAAATCATGGCGTCTATATTTAATCTCCCATTATGAAGAGATCCATATTCATCATAAGGTAAAAAGGAAACCCCCATATATCTCAATCAACAGATAAGCATCATCTTGTGGAATCAGTGTAGAAAGAAAGATTCAATGACCTGAAAATCCAATCAAATCCAACAGAAACCAATAAACTTTTTGATTTTCTGTGTTTGATCTTTGTTTCTCGCCTGTATGGTCACATTTCTCACCTCTTTTTCTTCCATATTCGTTCATCTCAGTAAAATAGCAAAAAGGGGAAAGAAAAAAGTAAGATATATTACAAACTCAGACTCTGATGATTCAAGTTTTGGAACGTACTGTTGAGAACAAAACTTTCCACTACGAAAAAGTACTGTTGATAAGAGCTTTGAAAGTCTCCTCTGAAGTCTCTGGTTTCCATTTTCCTTCTGTGAAGACCTCGTGCATTGCATTGCTTCTTCCTTCGCCTTGCAAATATATAGTAGCAAGAGTTTGTACTTTAAGATGATATATATATATATATAATGTATATATATATATATATACACATACACAAGCAAGCCTTCCATACAAAACTGATAAATGAAGCCAACCCAATCAATTAAAATTAACAAAGATTTACAAACCATCCAAAAATCTTCGAAACCACCTGCATGGAAAATAAACATCATAAAGACAAATTCGAGCAGAAAGGAAAGGCAGAAAAAATTATTAGAGTACGTGATACACAAGGAAAGTTCCATCTGGACAGATTCCAGTTATTTCAACTTAGTGTTAATAGATCCTTGATCCATTCAAAATTTTTAAATTTATTTTCCACTTAAGGTCTCATTAGATATAAAATTCAATTTTGTATCAATTACTTTTTAAAGTTTCAAATACATAGCAGCATGGACCACAAAATTGAAAGTTCAAAGGTTTATTGGACACTTTTAAACGTTAAGAGACCAAATAGATACGAACTTGAATACAAAAGTTTAGGGATTTTATATCGCCAAAAATGGATTAAGATAACACTTGCTACAAGGAAATGGTCATCCTCCTTCCAGAAATGCATGCATAGATGAATTTGGGGCGTGGCCCAACGGAAGGCTGTATGTTAGAAAACTACTCCACTGTATAATAAGTAAACTGAAAAAATGCGAAGAGATTTTTTATATTCAACTGAATCTAACTATTAAGTAATTGGAAAGAACAGTCATTACTTGTTGACAGTATATTCTACGGTGATTAGTGCCAACAATATTGGGAAATGATAGTCATTGTTTGTTGACAGTATATTCTACGGTGATTATTGTCAGAGGTCATTCAGAGATGGTTGAAAAACTTACTCTCTTTGTGCAATTGAAAAACATGAGAGGTGAAGAGCTCAACAAGGACCTGTCGGAGCATCAACGGGAAAAGATCAGGGCATTTTCAAGGCTTGTTTAAGTTGTGCAAGTGCTGCTGGATGCATGCTATTAATGGCTGCATTAAAGGAATCTCCATGGAGTGAAGCACAAGTTTGAAGATTTCCACGTACAGAATCTTCCAATGACAACTGATTAATAGGATCTGAAGCTTTGATCTTAACAGGAGAACAAAAATCCATAAGAAAAGAGCTACTACATATACTTCATCTAATAATTTGACTATTAGAACTTGGAAGGTTAACCTGTCGTCTTCTAATCTCCTTGCTTGGTATAGTTTCCACATCATTAGCTGCGCTAGTATAGTCATCACTGGTATAGGTTATACGAATGGTACATTAGAACCAGGAACTAGTACACAAATATATTATTCAACAATGAAAAATGGGAAACCAAAAGTATCAGGTGACCACACCTGGACTCCTCTGTTTGGTCATCAGTTCCACCCAAAATGACGGTGGTGCATACACTGAAACACAGTAATTAAAACATCAAAACCAAATGAAAGACACCTTTACAACTACTCACACTGTAACTATGAATAAGATTAGTCAGATTATGTACCTCAAGATCTGATCAAGCTTATCAAGGACTTGGGGCAGTCTTAAAGTCAAAATTATGGAAAGTGCTAACCCATACATTTTCTTTTGAATTGAGGATACATTGTCTACCTGTGACCAGAAATAAAGTTTATAGGTTAACGCAGAATCACTGATGTTGAACCTAAGGCATTCAAGAAGTGGGCCTATCTCTACTCAACCTTTTCATCAGACCTTAAAATTTAAAACAGGAAGATGTATTGAGACGAATGCTTCAGTTTGAGCCTAATTCCTAAGTAGATAATGCGATCACCATGCTCCCTTTGACTACTAATTATACAACCAAGCATCAAAAGAATCTAAACTAGAATTGTCAAAGGGACTTCTATTCTGATTCAAAAAGCATCCATAAACGAGATCTAACCCTCTTAACTAACTTCAAACTAAAAGATTTCCCGCTACTAACCTTGTCAAGCCACAAGTCAACCAAAGAAAGAAGAATATTTTCTTCAGTTTGGATTCCTTCTTTTTGGAGGAGCACTGTAAGGGATGGTTCTGTCATCAATTGGGCAAGATAGTTTGTATTCATCACCAAAACCCTCGCAAGGATGGCAGCTGAAGATGCCTTGACTGATGTCTTGGAAGGATCACGTTCGTCTTTTCCACTCAAGCATATAACAATCAATTTCTAGCACCAACGTAAAAAAGATACAAAAGTTTAAAAGAGAACACAAACATCTTGGAAAGCCTAACATTGTTACAAACGGAACAAAATGGAAGTTTCACAGAAAAAGTATTCAGCGTACCTGAAGGGTGCTACCTATCATTGGGGGCACGACAGCAGGAAAACACTGCAAAATAACAAGAATAAAATCTTGGGATTGTATAGATTTAATAGCGGCTCTCAAGTCTTTGCACTACAGAGCACGATCTAGAATTTGAGAAAACTGATGATAATTTATTGCCATACAGACTTGAAAATACCTATTAAATGAGTCTAACAGAATAAATAAATTAACAATGCATCACAACATGAACATCCTTCGTGCACAACTGAAAATATAATTATCTAACATATCAAGTGAAATCTTATTCTTATACATGATCTATTTCAAAACTATTCCAGTAATACTTCTTTATTTCTGAATGGAAGGTTTAACACTTATTTAACTGAGAGTTAAAGAAAGAGGACTATTGATTATTTATTCGGGAAAAATAAAATCTTATCTTGAAACTTTAACATTATTTAGGGAGGTGGGAAGTCCTAAATTCAATGAATTGATATTTCCCTAGAAATGAGGAAAGATAATTCTGTCAAGACAGATAGTTAATGTGGCGAAGGTGGACAGTTCTCAAACGAATATAAAAGTCCCTTTGGTGATTCAAATTGCTCCTAGATGGTGTCCTAGTTAATTCAAGAAGAACGGTTACGAAAGGTGAAAATTCCCCAACTTCTATATAATCAAGGCCCCAGAAGAATGTGAGAATGTTATGGTTTAATTAAAAAAAAAAAAAAGTATATATATATATATATATATTCAGCATCTTTTGGTCATCTCTAATCATTTTTTGTGATATTTCCAATTTCTTTTCTTTCTATCATGGTTTAGTGGAAAGTATTTTTGTAGTCTCCATAGCATTGTAGGTCAGGATGGCCTTCCTATCATTCACAGCCCTCCTTTTATATATTTTCTCATCGACAAATATATTACTCATCTTAATAAAAGGAGGTATCTTCTTAGAACAACAATTTGCGTAGAAAATACTAAACAAACTTCTAAAAGAGCCAGAACCTTAGAAGATAAAAAGTCCAGAGAAAAAAAAACATGCAATTCTATACTTAAATGTTTAGCTTTCAAATCTCAATAACCTCCCTAAATTTTCATGACCATATCAAAATAAACTTCTTTAGTTTTGTCTAAATAAAGAATCGGAAATAAAGGACAAAATTTTGCTGGTATCGATACTAATTCTGATCTGAAAAAAATAAATATGCAGACTCATACCTGCACCAGAAGGTCAATAATTGGAAATGTTGAAAGCAGTCCTCTATCATTGACGTTGCCAATAATCAAATCAAGAATTCTTGCGATGCTAGAAGCAAGCATGCTTATAAATTCATTCCCCCCCAAGAGGATGTAAGTCTCAATTATGTTGATGGCAACCTGATTTAAGACGATTTAAAATGCTTATGGAAAGAACAATAGACTGAACACTGAATTAACACAGAAACAAGGTAACAATCTGCAGGCTTTCTTTGTAATCACTTTCAATTACATGACCTAAACAACCAAATATACTTTCTCTAGCTCTTCGAAGCCTAATGTCCAACCACTCAAAGTAGACTCAATATGAAAATGAGAACATTGCTACTCCTTTATCTTTCAATCCCTTTCACTTGACCAAATTCTTTACTAATTTGGAAAGCACTGGCCATTCCAAGACCCAAAAAATATCCCCTGAAAATACAGTCTTGGTACATGGGACACAGAGGGTTGAGTGTTGAACGCGTTTGTCACTTTCATAAATAAGCAACTAAATCTCTAGATTTTCACATGGGAGCATAGTACATTAGAACTACTTTCTTTTTCATTAAGATGCTATTTCACTGAAAGAAATGAAAAGTATCAAAGGCCTGAAAAACGAAAGGATTCCAAAACAATATCCTATTAAATTGTAAAGAAGAAAGAGAACAATTAGAATCCAACTTAATTCTAAGACATGATAGAAGAAGCCTAACCTCCAAGTGATCAAAACTCCTTTCCATGATATCCACAAGTCGAGGAAAATATGATAGCAGAGAAGGAACCAATGAAGGAGCATGAGAAACTGTAGCTTCCCATAACTGTATGAAATTTTATTTTTAGCAGCGATAGAGGACGCAGAAATATAATAACAAATTAAATAGATTATCAAACTGTATGAAATTTTACTTTTCAGCGGCGATAGAGGATCAGAGAAATATAATAACAAATTAAATAGATTATCAAACTAGTACCAGCAGGCTATCTTCCAGAAGATTGATTTCATCTGGATGATTTACGTCAATGCTCCTATCCAAAATGGGCATTAACATGTTGTAGCAAACGGGTGATTGATAACCAAGGGCAACCACAAGATTCCGCAGAGCAATAAGAAGCTGAATCTGTAGGAGGCTTTCACCAGAAGATTCCTCCCAAACCTATTTAGATGAACAATGGGCGGTAAACCACAAGAGACTAATTTAGACGTACTCAAATAATCTGGCTTCAAAACAAAATTTTAAAAACAAAACTTTAAAGCTTGAATGAAGACACGGCATAACAAACCAAAATCAATTTGATAACATAAAGTGACGTATCACTAATTTACATTTATACAAAGGAAACCATAGCTATTCATGGGATTACAAGACCAAAGATGCATGGACACCAATGTAATTAAACGGTCTTTTAGAGCAAGCCCATTTTGCGACTAATTGTGCTAAAATATGTATATAATAGATAGCTAGATAGCTAGATATATAGATATACTTTGAGTTCAACATATGGGGTCAAGGATTCAAACGTCTAATTTCTTAGTTAATGGTACATGTCTTAGCTAGTTCAGGTAGGTTTAGGTTGGCTTGACTACGCTCATATTTTTTAGTAATAATCCATTAGAAACTTCAATTTGTATGATAGTTGCATGCAAACTTCTTCAAACAAGTAAATCTACATAGATATCTAAAATTGGAGGATAAACAAAAAACAAGACACCATAAGTTACATCCAGTTTCCAGAGTCTTTTGATTGTATTCAGTTCTAATTATTTAACATATTCAAGTATAATGAGATAGCTTCTTTTTTTTAGCATCTCCATAACTCAAAACAAGTAGTTAGATGTGCTGTTTTTCGAACTAGGATTATCTACGACTTGTCAACATTAGTCAATACATTACGTTTTACGAATTCGAATGCGATGCTTGTATGTGCCTTTATGGATATAGTTCTCATGGTATTAAGCCTTTCCTTTCTCGTGTGAAATTTGTCGTTTAAAATTGGCTAAGAAAACTATTTTGGGATAAATTTAGGATTGAAATTGTAATAATACCCTTCCCCCCAAATTTTGGTATCTGTGGATCATGATGTGATTTTTAGTCCACATGTCAGTTCATCATGCACATGTTGTAATAGAGGCTAGGCAATAACTTATTTTATACAGTGGCACTGTACAGAAAAATATAGCTTACCTTCTGAAAAAATGATATCAACACATTCGAATATGGAATCACTTCACTGACACGATCAATCAGAACCGATATTAAATTTAGAACTTGAACCTGAAGAAAGACGTATAACACAGATGTAGTCAAACAAAAAGATACATTGAAAAATAGAGAATGACATCTGAATGATACCTAATCATCACCTTTTATTTTAATTTTTTCGACCATTTTTAAAGCAAAAAAAGGTACCAGAAAGGCAGAAAACCAATGAAACCAAAACTCGCGCAAGTAAACCTCCAGTTGTAGAAAATAAAAAGGAACTTCCACATAAGAAAAATTAAAGATTTGAATCCCTTCTAATAGATTCTTTTTAAGATTAAGCAAAATGTACAAAGAGAAAAGTTCATTCCTTTCAAGTCTATATAGGTCAAGCAAGACTCCTAAAGAAAAGGGAGCAAGTATGTCATCCTTAGTTCCAAAGGATAATACTACATATTCGTTTAGAGAAACAACCCACACAACAATTAATAAAAGAAGACGTGATAAGGAAAATCCTTTTGATGACGATCCTCCAAGATGATGTTTCTTTTTCCATCACCACAGGTTTGGTCGGAGTGTAAATCCACATTATCATCCAAAGTAGTTTTGAGAGAAAACAACATTCTTTATAAGGGTGTGGAAAACTCTCCCTAGTAGACCCATTTTAAAAACCTTGAAGGGAATTCCAAAAGGGAACACCCAAATTAGTCGAAGAAATCCAAGGTATTTGGACACTCTCTCTCTCTTCAGCACTCTCACTCAAACCTAAACCGTCTAAATGATTTTCTACCTTCATCCTTTCTCATCCACACTATTTATATCAAACTCTCCTAACAAACTCCTTGGGTTATTACTAACATACCCTTAATACCCTAAAAACATTCCTAATTCCATCCTAATAGCACTCTTAATAGAAGTACGGTAATTCTTGGTTACGGGCAATTAGGATAAGAATGGATTTAAGGTACACGTGTCACACAAGCAAGGGGTTTCTTGACAAGTGAGAGTGTTCCTTCTTCTTTCCTCTTCCTTATATGAAGATAACCTACAGGATGTGTAGGTGATCTTCAAGCGTGCAAGGAGAATTGTTGTATTCTCTCAAGGAAAATAAAAAGTCTTCTGCCCCAAAGTGTATGTATTCCTGTTTTCTTACAACAACAATATCCTAACCTTTGTCCCTTGCTTTCTTTTTACATTTGCAGCAGTAACGTTGAACCAGGACGCCCGGAGACCAAAAGAATCTAGGAGAGTCTATCAGTCCCGTAAACACCATCTACCATGAGTTTTCTTCTCAATTAAATGTGTTAGGTCAAACGGATGTTCTGCGAAATCAGTCAAAGTACACAGAAGCTAGCTTGGACACTCACAAATATTTAAAAAAATGTTTTTTAATTACTTTGTAAATAATACATGTATTACTTGGAGGGGATTTTTGTAAATCCCATTTGCTTCTATGGCGTCTCTCTACCCCTTTTGTGCATTTGATTACGTTAATGAACCATGTTCTTTCTTAATAGGGAAAAAAATCCCACCGTGGACTTCGGATTGCAGATTACTTTCCTTGGGCAAACAGTTACTCTAACCTATAGATACTAGTAACTATCTCATATCATAGCTTGCTACATTTTCTTAGGAATTATCAAAACCATTTTGCCAAATCGCCTTATTTTTTCTCATCATGCTTCCAATGCCCGATTCACCACTCTCTAAGGATTACACGACATTTCAATTAACTTGCACAACCTCACTTCATACTTTCCTTCCCAGATAAGTCTAAAATACTAAACAATGGGCATTTAATATTGATAATGTTTATCTCGAAGGGATTTTTCAAAAAGCTGTGATTATAATGAGCGAACATCTTTTTTTAAGGACGGTGGGAATCAAAGAGACAATTAAAGCTATGCTTAGCCCAAACAATAAAAATAAAAAGCTAATAAGAAAATGGAGGAACAGAAAATGGAGGAACATGTTAAAAGCAAACTTCAAAAGTGACGATCTGAAACTGAACATATTTTTAAAGAGCAGATAGTGCTACCTTTGAATCGAACTCCTGAACTTCATCTACCAGTTTAATGCATGATTCCCAACACACGGGTAGAAGATCGGTAAATTTTTCTTCTGAAAAGTTTGCATCTTCAACATGTAAACACAAAGACCGACAAGCTGCCAACTAAGTCAAGGAATGTTTAACTTCAGTTGTTAGTAACAAAAGGGTTGTATCAAATTTATAAAGAGAAAAAAAAAACGAGAAAAATGATGATGTTACATACTTATGATAGTTTGAATCATACCTGAACAGACAAATCTTTATCCTGAAGTAATCGGATCAATGCACAATAAACTTGTCTTTTCGTATCATCTTTAACCTGTTAATGCAAAACAACAAAAGGCTCAATTTCAGTCCTCATATTATAAATTGGAATATACTAGTTTTGCAGAAAAGGTAAAATTATCTTCACAAACTCATAATAAATGATATCCCCAAGCCTTAGAAAGAGCTCCTGCAGTCCCGAAGCCATATTGCTAAAGTTCCAAAAACTGAACATATTGGTATTTTCACTAAATTTCAGTACCTTATTTCCTTCTGTGATGGTTGAGATTTCTGAATGAACTACAATTTTGTATATTACGCTTAACAATAAAGATAATACAATACATACAATGTTTCACATACTAGCCAACAATAAAGAAGAATAAAAGAGAGGATCAAGAAAAAATAAAATAAAATAAGGTGGGAAATGCCCCTCGCTAGAGAGGTCATCATATGAATCAAGAGACAACATTTGAGCATCGAGGCTACAGCCTATAATGAAACGCCAAGATCCATGTGGCAATTATCCAACAACCTAGCAACAATCTTTAATGAAATTTCGTTAATTCTACCCCTTTATATACGTTGATATAAGAGTATTTAGGCCTTTATATTTTGACTGACATTCAGATTGCTGATTTTGGAAATTTATAGCCTAGTTCCGTCTGATGAACTTACATTGAATTTGAATAAAAATTGAGTTTCTTCTCTTTGATAACTAAGTAACATACTATTTGTTCACAATTTTTAATCTAGGTTGCAAGCTGGAACATTCAAGTAAAAATTGATCTACTTGCAGAACACGAGATAATGTTAACAGCTTTCAGATCAGTAGACCATTATAACGACAGGTAAACAACATCTTGACCATAATGACATACACTGCGAGTGGTCAATATTCCCTCAGAAAAAATATATGCACATATATATGAACACAGTACCTCAGACACCCATTGTCCCAATATCAGTGCAACTTTCCGACGGATGATACGCATGTTTGGATGATCATTTGAGATTTCAAGGGATAATGCGCCATTAAACCTAGGAATTAATGAATATTCTGTTGGTTTCTCAAAAAATATATATATACATAATGAAAATACTGTAGAGGAAGTTGCCTTTGTAATCCTCTTTATGATGCCCCCTACTAATAGACCAATAAATAAGAAGTTTCACAACGGAAAGCAATTAGCGAACAGAACAGATAAAGAACAGACTAAGAAGATACGAAAAGAAAGTGAGAAAACACACTAGACCAATGATTAGGAAAAAGTTCAGGATGATACCAGAAAAGATGAGGTTTCCACAAGAATCTTTTAATAATTTTTTCAACAATATATGCTATTTCTTTATTCACAAACTTCTTCAGAAGATTCATCTTTGTATTGATCCAGTGGACAAATTCTTTCCAAGTTCCAGCCCCCTCACCTATTTACCTACCACCTCAGGAAGAGACTCTAATTATTAACTCACCACCTACAGGCCACATTCCCAAGTTCACATTAACTTTTTAAGACTTGCCTCTACTAATCTCCTCTATTTCCACCTTTATCCCTAAATCACTCATAAAACCAGAAAAGCTTTCGTTCCACCCTCCTTTTGAGGGATGAGCCCTCTCCGACTCTCATAGCACATAGAGAGACAAGGGGTACACAATACAATCCTCTTTTTCATTTTTTGTTAAAAGAAGAAATCACTACCTCATATCTGATGTAGGGAATGTTCAGTCTCTTGTCTTATGGTCAAACTAATTGTTTGGATTAAGTATATCTTGACCATTATTTAGTTAGCTTTCCTTTTTCGTCAGTTAGTTTATACATTGGTTGGTACTTCATCAAAAGCAATATAGTTGTACTTGTACTTGGTTGTGGCTTGTTGAAAACTCAATCAAACTTCAAACAGAAGGTTACATCAATATCAATATTGAACATCTCAATTTCCAGAAATATTGATAAAACGTCAACAAGTTGATAGAATTGTGAACTATGTAATTGTATATTTCTAACGTTTCATATGCCCATCCAACCACCTAGCTCATGCATGTTTCACCCTTCCCTTCCTCCTCAACCATATATACATGCATGCATACATATACATATGCATATATAATAAAATAAAAATAAAATAAACATTTTAATTAAAAATAAAAGAGAAGAAGCAATCTAATGTAAACTTTAAACAACTGAAGAAATTTAAACAAGTCACCTTAATTAGTATTTATTGCCAATGAATTATGGTCAAATTATGTATTCCTAAATAGAAAAGTGTGATACAGAACGGAAAAAGCTTATACCAATCTTTGAAGCTCAGGTAATTAGAGAGCTCATAATAAACATATGCAGCAGCACCATAAGCAGCATCTTTGAGAAGCAATCCTGGAGAGATATCAGTCACTGAACTTGAGCAACCAGTCATTGCCTCCCGGAGGATGGAAACCACAACAGGGCCCAGAAGCTATACATAACATCAAGATCGTTATACGTCTTTCAACTAGAGACAAATAAATACTATAAACATTGAAAGTATATAATTATAAGGAAAAATTTTAAAACAAATCTTGCATACCTGACTGTGGTTTTCAAACAATACAATATACAAAGCTTCAGCACATGGCCGTAGTTTCTCTGTCCACAAAACCATATCCTGCTCATGATGGAAAGACTCTGGGTTTTGGTACCACTCCTCCAAATCAGTTGCTGATAAAACAAAATACCTGTCCAAGTGAATGCCATGAGATTTAATCACTTTACAATAAGAACATAATACCATATTAAGAATAGCAGTAAAAATAAATAGATAACAAGTAGCTCCTCTCAAATCAATGCCAGTGTTATGCAAAGATAAAATAGGGAAGGCCAAAACCAAGTGAAATAGCAAAACAATTTAGAGCCCAATAATGTTTTTAGAATAGTATATCAAATGTGGGACTGGGGATTTGAACCTATAACCTCACAAGGAAAGTAGAGAACCCTTGTTTGAATGTAGAACCCAATATTTCACCACATTCATACCTAAAGTTCATAATATTCTCAGCTCCAAAATTAAAGTATGAAGGCAATGTAAGTTTCACCAACACGTGTACAAATAACACCCTTGTCATAGTAATCATTAAACCTTCTTTGATTCTTGCTTGTTCCAATTTGAGTTAGAAAGAAAGAACTCCACCAAGAAAACTATCTCGGACAAGAGATTCAAATTACTCCAATGACGAGAGCAGTTAAAATTTCTCTCAGATCATTCTACTGCCAATTGGGAAAAGCCGTTTGTAATCCTTATAGATATCTTACCATTTTTGTAAATTTCATATCTCAATGAAATTGTTTCTCATCGATAAGAAAATAAATGTGTGTGTGTGTGTGTGTGTGTATTATAAACACTCCTAAAAAATCAACGAGAACCCAAGAAGGAGCTCTAGGATAAATCTTTTGTAATTCCTACATGCTATTTATGCATGGAAGGGAGGAAGACCTCAGATTTTTCCCTCCACCTCAGACGGAAGAGACTGAACTCTCTTCTTTTTAGTTTAGGCTCCGAGTTGTTTTTGGGTGGGGTCCTACGGAGCTTTTGGAGAAGAGTATCCTAGTGTGTAAGCACAATAATGAACCACGACGCCCTCAGAGAAAGAATCTTCCTGACCTTGCCCCCTCTCTGCACATGGTTCACGAACTCATTTCCTGACTATGTGACAAAAGAGGTTCTAAAAGTACCCTCTCGTTGGCCTACACGTTTTAGGTTATCTGGAAAGATTAGAGTTCCACTGAGCTCGAGCTCGGAAAAAGTTCTAAAAACCTTCTCGGCATATCATCATCATGACCCTTTTCTTCTTTCTTTTGTTTGTGTCTGACTTTAGTTAAAAAGAGGCGTGTGTGTTCTTTTAAGGCTTACTGGGGGCTGCAGTTCTGGGGCATCAAAAAAAAAATTGAGGATTTCCTCCTCAATGCTGAAGGATATGACAAGAAATCACCTCTGTAATTAAAAATTCTATAAATAAAAGGTCTATAACTCCTGGCGCTGATACCAAATTGTTATGGGCCCAAGTCTGCAATTGAATTATGGGTCTCTCGTAAGTGAAGGTAAACGGTATTTGTCTGGGGGAAGTAGAATTCTTCTTTCAACCTACTTTGAATAATTGTAAGGCTTAAATAGAGGGAACCTTAATATCTCTAAGTTAAAGTACTCAACACTAAATTGAAAATTTTTAGGTACCATCGATGTTTATGACTGTTTATACAAGTTTTATAATAATCATTGCTACATCAATGGAACTACGACTCAATCATTAAGGGTCATCCTCCTAAAACAAAAGAAATAACTAAAAATAGAAATGAAAGTAGGGTCCTTACAACCATTGCTATATCAATGGAGTCATGACTCAATCATGGAGAATCATCCTCCTAAAACAAGGGAAATAACGAAAAATAAAAATGAAGGTAGAAGACTCCTCCTTACCATATGGAAACTGAAAAAAAAATTGCATTAAGAAAATTCAACTAATGAGTTCCATATGTGACTTCTTCTTTTTGCCATGAGTGTAACACGAGTACACTTGCAGTGGCAATATATCATCCCCATATAATCCCAAATGGTTAAAAACGCTTTTAATTCTTAAAATTTCATAGAAATAACAATATAGTCCTTAAGCTTTAGTATGTAATATGAGATGATTTAGTCCATGTACCTTCAATTATGTAAAAGTTTGTCTATTGACCTAAACACAAAAATAAAATAATAACAATTAAAAAATAGTTAAATCCTAAGATTTACATGGTAAAGAATAAAACCTTACAAAATAATAAACTATAAGGACTAATCTGATACAAGTTTGAAAATAGGGAGACTAAATCATAACATTACTTAAGTTCAGGACTAAATCGTTGCTTCAGATCAAGAGTATTTCTGAACCTAATCCAAATCCTATAGGTGCAGTAGAAAATACTTTACCATCCCTCAAATGACTAAAGAATTCTTCGCTCCAAATGACAATCCTTTCAATCAATTTTTATCCCTCCAAAGAAAATGATAAATGAACTATCTTTCGTAAGGATAGAGGAAAAGAGACATCACATTTTTTAAAACAGAAAGAGTCTTAAAAGAATTTGACAGCACTGTTGTTTACTTCACAGACAAGGAGAAAAGAAGCATATAACATTTTAAATTACAGCGAACCTAATAATAAGTAAAACCATAATATCACAAGCTTCAAGCCTGAGACATTTGAGATTGATTTTGTACATTTACCTCCTGATTAATACACCACATAGGTGTATTACACGGTCTCCAGGCAGAAGAGAATTTAACACACCATCTACAGCATTGGATATGTTTTTCTTCACCTGCTCTACTGTCATCCCATTTTCATCCATCACTCGACCTGTAAGGCTAGGCTTGTACTCCTTACATTCAAGAATATTCTTTACCATTACCATACATTGTATCAAGAATTGCTCGAAAGACAACACATAAGGCTCAGGATCAGTTATTTTATTTAAGCAGAAATTGATGACAGGTGGAAGAACGGACTTGTCACTAAATGAATAAGGATGCCTTCCTTGTAATGCAATCAAAACCTTCATCAATTTTATGCAAGCTCTTTTTATGAAGTCCCAAAATTTGGAATTTCTCTCTTGAAAGGAAGAATCTACAAAAGAAGTTACATTAAACAATTCAACATATGTCCCATTGCGAAGAGAATCTGAATGGCCTCAAAAAGATTCAAGCAGAACATAAAACTAACGAAATTAGACAGAAGAAGAAGAATTCTCACAGAAAGGAAGAAATGACTGAAGAACATTCAACAGTGCAGGAGAAACTTCCTTGATTGGCTTGACTTCCTACAAGATAGTGATAAATTACATTAACTTGAGCACAGGCACAACGAACTCAAAAGAGAAAGGGAATAGAACCAACCTGCACTGATTTGGCATCGCTTGGAAATCCTGAAACTACTAATTGGCGTATTATCTTTAAACAAAACAACCATCTCTCACAAATTAAATGAAGTTCCTCATGATTCAGCTCATTTGGGTTATAGCTTCCTGAAAGTGTAGAAAACCCATGTAATATCTTCTGCACATCACTCTGCCAGAGGTGCCACCCATAATCAAAGAAATGCATTGATATCTGCCAAATTCCAAGAGTGAGACATAGTTGCATTTAATAAGGAGAATGTAAAAAATGACTCTCACACTCTAAATCATACAAAGGATAGAATAAGAATAAGTAAAGACTAATAATAGATATCATTCAAAAAACTAATAATAGATATTTAACTAATAGGATTTATGTGCCAAGATCAAAAAATACAATTAAGACAGTTAATACCTGTGCAAAATTTTTTTGGTCTGAAGTAAGTCGCTTGCTAGATAATTCTTTCAGAACTCGAAATAAAACCATAAGAATTCGGTGGCTTAAAAGAACATCTGCAGATTGAAGTTGTTGAATCAACGTGGGGAAGAGGTCTGGCCTGTGTTAATCATAATACCACGCAAGTTAGCATGTAAGACTATCTTACCTCATATATTTAAAAGAGCAGTTAGAAAGGAACAAATACGAGGGAAAAGAACGAGGTCATAATGCTGGCACCCAACTAGAACAACTCAAATAATTTACAAATGAACTTTGCGTTTAAGTCTCCAAGAGGAAGAAAGATACGAAGAAATAACTTTTCAAAAGCAGATTTAAGAACCTTTCCACATTATTAATGAGTCCCCTTTTTCCTTCTAAGAAAATTCCCAAAAATCAATGGAGGGGCCATTGATATGGCAAGACAAGCCTTGTCTAGTAGTCTGGACTAGAGAAATCACAAATAATCTAGATTATTTTCTAAGCACATGTATTTGCTTATGAGACTGCCAAGAAAACTTCCTCCAGAGCCAGTCAAAGCTTGCAATGACTAGTATTGGTCATTCAGGGTCTGCTCAGTGAGCATTACAAAGACAAAAGATAGCAACTTGAACTGAAAAATAGAAGAGGATTCCTCCTTTTGACTTTATCGTTCTACGATGAGGGGAACAAAAGCCGTAATGAGGGGAACAAAAGCCGTACAAGACCCTTGCACTCCTAGCTTTCCAGAGAGTTTCACAACATAAAAAGACAAAACTAAATAAATTTTTTTTTAAAGAAAATAAAGCACAAATGAAGAAAAAACATACTCTCATTTTCACTGTGCAAAGCCCATAGTTATCAAAATCTTGAAGCAAGGGTAGAAGAGTGAATTCTGTCTCTTCTTTTTTAATAAGAAACAAATTTGATTGATGTATGGCGAGTAAACCCCATCTCTCAATCAAATAAATCTTCTCCTAAATATAAGAACCAAGCATCATTACTTGAATGTGTGCATCTTTGATGACAATAAACTTCTTGGATGAAATATTGAATAGCCATAGGAATCCATGTGCGAGAGTGTGCCACCTTCCCCAGCAACCCAACCAAAGAAGTGTACAAGAATATGTAGCCACATGGTGAGCACAGACCAAACTATTCTTTCACGTTTCATTTATATAAGCATGCTAGAATCATCTTTATGAAATTTTCAAGTTAGGAGTACCAAAGCAAGAATTTCTAGAGCTACACCGAGAACAAGATACTTTCATATGAACCTTGCCTTACATATGTCCTGACAATGGTATTTTTCCAAAGGTAGTTAGGCTTAATAAGAACCCACCAAAGTAACTCCGAATAAACGGCAAGGAGTTTTTAACAACAATTATCCTAGCCAAAGAACCAAGACTACTCACAAGTCACATCTCAAGAGAAAATAATCATCAAGGATAAGTCTTTCCTTCAAAGAACCTAATGTCTTGTTTCACATGGTCCCATGTGCGAGGAAGATTTCCAAGCTCCCTTCTTCCTCTAGAACCCGATTTCCTTGTGTTCCTTTCTTAGGCAACCTATACAAAATAGAACTACAAAACGTAACAGTGACAACCAAGCTACAATTTTTCTTGTTCATATCGTTGGCAGCACTACAGCGGCCTAATCTCCATACATCATTTTCGCCATTATCATCAAAATCTTGAACTATGAGAAAGCCAATACATAAACCAAATAAACTGCATTTAAAGACATCAATTACAAATATAATGAAAACGGAGTTAGATGATCAATTAGCCACTTATCAGTAACATCATAGAGATTAATAATACCATTCCCTGGGATAATCAATGCGGGCGATTTTAGAAATGATGACCGCCAAAATTGCTGCTATCTGTTGAGGACAAACATAGAGAACCCAAAGAACAAGAAAAAGACTTAGTGAACATGTCGATAAAGCACTTTCTGTTTAAGCAATTTTCTTACTGTTCTTCATCTTCAGAGAGAGACAAACAGGAGAGTAAATAATAACTCATACCTTATAATCTGGTTCTCTCAAGTGAGACAAGAGCTTTTTCCTGATATGAACCTTCTCATCATTCCCAACTCCACTGAAACTCAGAAATTAAAACAACATGAGAATGGGAGGATGCAAAATTAATCAGAACAAGAGAAAAACAAAGGAGAGACATGATGGGACGACCAAGTATCCGGGATTGAGCGTCTACTACTAGTCCTCCAATAACGATTAATGCTGTTCTTCAAATAAACGGATGCCATGAGACGAATATCAGCCTGAGAAACTAAATCCGGCGACGTGATCAGCTCCAAAAGACAAGAGCAAAACCCAGACCGACTATCGGTGCCGGATAGCGCCAACTCCGCCTGCTTGCGAACACCCGCATCACCACTCATTGAATTCATCAGCAGAGTGTACATCGCCGCCATATCCGAGCTTGACATTCCCATTTTCAGATTAAGCCTAAACTTTGACCTATTGCTCAAGAAAAATGACCCATATAAAGGAGTTCCTCAATCAAAATCTTCTCCAATGAACTTTTCTACTGTAACTCAAAATCGGCTAGTAAATGACAGCCATGGAAGCCACCCTCGGCCTTTTCACCTGTGAGTATATTAGCTCAACGCAGCTTTTGTTGCTTTTCTCCTCTTAAATGGCTTGCCCGCTTTCTCCAGGTTTTGGGCCGTAATAAGAACTTTTGTCGAGTCCTTCAAAAATAATTCTTTTTTTTTTTTTTTTAATAATTTTTAGATTTAATTCTTAATTTGTGTTTGTATGATTTTGTATATTAAACGGTGAATATTTTATTTTAATTATAAACTTTCAAATATTTTATCCAACCACTATTTTTAATCCTTTAATGACACCTTAAGATATATAATATAATTCAATTAGTTGAGTTAAATATATATGGATTAAAGTCTCCCTTAACATAAAATGTATTATTTTTTAAAAATAAAATTTATTAACTGAACTATTGTAATCCATCGATAAACATGTAACATGAAAAATTTATGATAAGATTTAAACCTATTCTGTCTCGAGTAGATATTCATAAGTCATCGATTTATATTTGTATAATTCGAACTAATAAAAATAAATAATTTAACAATAATAAATTAAGTAAAATTAACCAAGTTAGTAAAATTGTTAGAAGTAATCGTCGTTGGATGAAAGCCCCACGTCGACTAATTTAGAGAATGATCATGGGTTTATATAATCAACGAATACTATCTTCATTGAAATGACTCATTATGGGAAAGCCCAAAGTACAGTCGCGAGAGTTTATGCTCAAAGTAACAATGTCATACTATTATGGAGTCGTGTTCTATTTTATCAACACAAGAATCTATCGAGTTCATAAAAAATAAAATTTAAAATTAAAAAAAAAAATCCATCAACTGAAACAGGAACTGAGAATCTTGATCATAGCCCAGAAAGGGGTTGAGCTATAGCTAAAGGGTTAACTTGGTATGAAATGCCGCAAGTCTACCGCTGCTTTCTTAATAGACGATGCTTGTTTTTGAGCCAACCTGAGAATAAAATAATAATAATAATAATGTCACATTCCATGTAAACGTCAATAATGTCACATTTCAGATATTGTTCTCTTTGAACTTTTCTTTTCGGGTCTCCCCTCAAAGTTTTAAAACGCATATGCTAGGGAGAGGTTTCCACACCCTTATAAACAATGTTTCGTTCCCCTCTCCAATTGCAGTGGGATCTCACAATCCACCCCCCTTGGGAACCAGCATCCTCGCTGACACAGCGCTCGGTGTCTGGCTCTAATACCATTTGTAATAGACAAGCCCACCGCTATTGGATATTGTCCTCTTTGGTCTTTTCCTTATGGGCTTCTGCTCAAAGTTTTAAAACACATTTGTTCAAAAGAGGTTTCTACGTCTTTATAAACAATGTTTCGTTCCCCTTTCCAACCGATGTGGGATCTCACAATCCATCCTCCTTGAGGGCCCAGTGTCCTCGCTAGCACACCACCCGATGTCCGTCTCTGATACCATTTATAACAGCTCAAGTCTACCACTAGCGGATATTGTAGTTCACTTCTCAAAATTTTTTATTCATCAAACTACGATCAGATAATACTACCAATGCTTTTGGAAAATTCTAAAAATACCAAAAAATACTTGAAGGGAGTAGCACACTTCATTAGTGTTTCTTAATTTCTCTGGTATTTTCTCTTTTTCCCATTGAGCACTATGATATAGCAATGCAGCAAAGAATTAACATGGATGTACAAGTAACAGAGAGAAGGATCAGTATGATGCTATTTATTAGACCACAAACATACCTCTTCAAAGTGGCTAGTTTCCTTCGCAATAGATAATATATCAGCACTAACAAGCAGCTAAGCACAATCCTTCCAGTGGATATCACAAGCCGAGTACTTCCAAACTTCAAAGTCATAGTACGGAACGGCCAAAAACATGGTTTTGTAAGTTTTTGCAGTCTAAGAACCGATTCTCTATTAGCACTCTCTCCATCTTGATGGTATCCAGGGTTCACGGCTGCTTTAGAAGCTCTTGATTTTTTAGGTTCTTCTAAAGAAGATAAATGTGCATTACAGTCATCTTTAAGCAAAGATGAGGATGATTGTGACAAGCTAGCAGCTTTAAGAGACTGCAAGTAATCTGACCTCCTCAAAAGTACCTAGCCAAAAGTTGGAAGGAAAATTTTGATAATTTTTTAGCAAAAAACTAGGTAGCAAGAACAGTAAAGAAGAACAGTTTTAAGGTAATGGAAAATTACAAACTTAGTTCATCAAAAATCATAAACTTGTGCAATGATACTCACAACGATGGTAATGATAGGATTAAATAATTCATCCCAAATGTCGGGAGAATTTCTGTAACGGCCCAGGCCCACCGCTAGCAAATATTGTCTTCTTTGGGCTTTCCCTCAAGGTTTTTAAAACGTGTCTGCTAGGAAAAGGTTTCCACACCCTTATAAAGGGTGTTTCGTTCTCCTCCCTAACCAATATGGGATATCATAATCCACCCCCCATCAGGGCCCAACGGCCTCACTGGCACTCGTTCCTTTCTCCAATCGATGTGGGACCCCCCACCAAATCCACCCCCTTCGAGGCCAGCGTCCTTACTGAAACAGTGCCTCGTGTCTACTCCCTTGGGGGACAGCCTCCTCGCTGGCACATCTCTGGCTCTGATACCATTTGTAACGGTCCAGACCCACCGCTAGCAAATATTGTCCTCTTTGGGCTTTCCCTATCGGGTTTTCCCTCAAGGTTTTTAAAACGCGTCTGCTAGGGAAAGGTTTCCACACCCTTGGGTGGTTCGTTCTCCTCTCCAGCCAATGTGGGATATCACAATTTCTTTGAGAGGCATAGACATTATGAAAATTGAGAAAATAGCATAGACAGAAGCTGTATATGCAGGAGATCAATTAGAAGAAAAAAAAAGATCCAATGCTACACTGAAGAATATATGTAACGATGGATAGGCACAATAACATGGCTCAGACATGTTTCATATTTAATTGTCAGCAATCAACATAAACCTTGTGATGTCAAATCAGATAGTAGAACTTTTTAAATGCCACTCATTGGAACATGAAAAACAACTATTTACCTGACGCTTTTCCTCAGGTAAAGCAGCTTTCTCAACCCAAGAGACAGCAACATCCATATCCTTCGAACCTATCGCTAAAAGCATTTGGAGGTAAACTTCAACAACTTGGAGATATTCATCAACAGTCAACAGAGCATGCCCATCACAATGTTCTCTGTCATCGATATTTCTTGAGCCAACAAGAACATAGATTTCTTCGTTCGATAAACTCCACTAGTTAAGGAACTCTGCTAGTAAACATTGCATATCAGAAAGACCTTCTGAGATCTGAAGACATGCCCTGAGAAAGTGAGCAGGTAAAGTTGACCATTAAAATTTGCTCACAGCATCATCAATTACCCATACTTAAAACCTCATAGAACAACTACTTCACCCTACAACATTTAACGTCCGGAAAGTAGTAGCATTAATTTTCTAGATAGAAGGCCACCAAGTTATTATATAGGCATAAAGGTATTGAAGTATACCCCCCCCCCCCCATTGGGCCGACCCATGATACGTTGGGTATATTCAAGTTATTGAGATTATTTCTGCTAGCGGTAGGCTTGAGGGTAGACGCAAGGCGGTGTGCCAGTAAGAACGCTAGACCCCGAAGGAATTTGGTGGGGATCCCACATCAATTGGAGAAAGAAACGAGTGTCAACGAGGACGCTGGGTCCTAAAGGGGGTGGATTGTGAGACCCCACATCGGTTGGGAGGAGAACGAAACACCCTTTATAAGGGTGTGGAAACCTCTCCCTAACAGACGCGTTTTAAAAACCTTGAGGGTAAGTCCGAAAGGGAAATCCCCAAAGAGGACAATATCTGCTAGCGGTGGGTGGCTTAGGCCGTTACAGCGCTCAAGTAGATGATACCTTCTCTCTACGACGTCCAACGCTTCTCCCTCCAGCCGTCCAATTGATTTATAATATCATCGTAGTTATTTCATGACTAGAGAGAGACTTATAATTCAATGTACATGTTCTTCTTCTAGATACACTAATTAATTCAGCATGTATTTACACTAGAACAATTTATGGACCCTGTAAATAAGGAGAATTAACCAAAGTCTTTGTTTTCCAATTATGATCATTGATACGTACTCACATGATGAATCAACGAACAGAAGAATCAAATGAATGACAAGACTAGCTAGACATTATGATTGACAGAAGATGAGATTACCCAGTTAAAAGAACATTAACCGGGATGGCTGCAACAGAGGAAAATGATAATTTGAGCTCATCCACTATACGAGATGTCCTGCAAGTTCAATATCAATGAACAATAAGAACACTGTCCGTTAAACAATGAAGAATACTAATAAAGTAATACAACAGTTTGATATTGGTTCATATTTACATCACCTATTACAATAACAATGTATTAATCAAGATAATCAACAGGCTTCACAACAAACATCATAGTCTATAAATATCGCTTAAGAACTCGAATCAATATGGTTAAAAATACAACCACATGAAATGTATGAAAGTAGTTATAAGAACACTACCTTCCAAGTTCCTTCAAAGATTGAACCAAAACCATACTAGCTACTTCCAACATATCATTTTCACATCCAATTTTCATTCGAGAAATACGCTTCAAAACAGAGGAAGCTAGCTCTAACGCTTCCTCATGCGTGGAGCAGACAAGATAGCTGCAAAGCCCATCAAAGAACCGTAACATAAGGAGTCGATTAACTGTTGAGCGACAATGCGTTGATGGTATAAAAATAAGAAAATTCGATTCGATACCTCTCAGACCGCTCGATCTCTTCCCAAATTGCTTCTGCGTCATCCATGGCGACCGGACCTTCGAGCGTGTAATTTTGTCTCCTTCGTGGGTATAAGTTCCATATTTTTTTTCTCGATGAATGTAATTTTTATCCTTTTTTTTCTCTTTTTTTTTTATTATTTTATTTTTAGAATATCAAATCTGAATTTCTGGATTCAACGCGTAAATGTCAATTAAATTCACGCCATACTATAAATTACATAAGAATTTGGAGAAAAAAAAAAAATTGAAGCAATGTCACTCTTTTTCAAATTAATTTATCTGAATTGAATAATTATCTACTAATA